TATGTGTTGTGAATAGAAGTTGCGTTTTCATTCTCGGACATTCAATTATTTCAATATGTGGAAAACAATACACAAGTTATTCGACAGTCACCATATAGAAATAAATATCGTTCAGGAAATGTAATTCAAACGAGCTACATAACATTAAGCCATTTATGACGATAATATCGTCGGTGGTTTTCCTTCATTTTGCATCAAACACTTATTTCTCTCTTCTTTTTTTTTGGTTCTAAGAAAGTAGCCGAAAGTAGCTCAATAAACTTACTGTTTGGAAAGAAAAACGACAATGAAACTGATTAAAATGGACGAACACTTAAATTGATGGAAATAGTTTGGACTATGAGTCGAAAAATTAGCTCGCGTTCACGACAATTAAAATAAACTAGTTCAAGACAATTAAAATTAACGAACAGAAACGCGACGACGTCGGCAACGACGACGATCAGAAACAATTTATCGAAATTGTTCACAATGTTTTTGGCTAATTGAAAATTATAACTTCACACCACTCACGCAATCCGATTTTTAATTAAATTCGTTCAACGGAAAATCCAAATCGTAATTATTCGAATGCATTAATTAAAATCCTTGTTGGTTGGAAATGCTTTTAGTGGAAAGCGAATGGAAAAAAAACTGTCTTTTTTTTGGAAACGAAACGCTTAACATCGTCCTACTGACTGCACCAACCGATCAACAATGAGCATTTTAAAATGAATAGAATATTATATGCTATGAAAAATTGGCTAAAGACACAAACAGCCGAACACTGATCCGTACGCGCTTGAATCCGTCTGTCGAACGAACGAATAATACATAGAACTACTACATCACATACACATACACATACACCGTGTATGTGCTTATATTCTGGGCAATATACGAGTGAATGAACAACAACAAAAAATAACATAAGTACAGCACTCTCCTGACACACACGTTCACATATACGCAAGAGAGAGAGCACGTACACTACACACAGCTGTGTTTGTAGCGGCATCGCGTCGTTGTGTCGGTGAACAATTTTTTGAAAGAAAAAAAAACATAGACCGACGTTATATACACAACAATAACAACGAGCCGAATGTTTTGAAACTCGGGCGATGTGCATTTCACAAAAGCGGAGCACATGAAAGAGAGAAAATAAAAACAACAACAACAATGGCGTAGCGTTGTTTGAATGAACGAAGAAAGAGTTCTATTTACAGAGCACACTCACACACAGGGTGTCTACGTTGTATTCAGAGCGCATCCAGAATGGAAGAAAGCGGCCGGATATGACCCTGTTACACTTATCTATATTTTGTACAAGAGTTTTTTTTTGCCGTTTATTTGTTCACTGTTTCACAGTGTGAAATCACACACTATATCATTGTCTCAAGTACTGAATTTTATACGCCAATAAAATGCTTGTCGACCCGCACGACTCCCGTTTTCGTTTCATAACATAATCACATGGCTACAACAACCATCAAGTATAATAAATAATGTTTTTTTACTTAATCGCTTTTACCTCTCGTATTTCTCTATTTTCTCCACTCAATGGAATTGTTTCCGTTTGTAACGCGCACTTTGTCGTTCAGTCACACCGACTCCACATTATTCAAAAGTAACTAAAATACATCGAAGGTTTTCTGAGACTGTTTGTCTCAACCGAAGCGTCTCTATGAAAAAACCATCTAGTTATAAAAAAAAAACTCAATTTGACAAATGTTGCTCTGAAGAGTCGTCACTATTTTTCGTCAGCAATTTCATTCGTTTCACTAAGATTTTAATTTTGGAACAGCACAATTTCGTAACGCACCGATTCGTTGACGTACTTGATGAGAATTACAGCCGCTCACACTCAGTGAACACAGTTTATTGAATATGGCTAAATAAACACTCAATTATGCCAAACATCGAATATTCTGTCGGCAGGCAGATGATCTCTCCTTCTTTCTTTCGTTATCTGCCTTTGTTTTCTGCTATCTTTTTCAATTTTTCATTTGTCCTTGCTACTCTTTTTTGTTTGTTCAATTTCATATTTTTATATTTTTGGTTCTTTCAGTTCTTTCAATCAGATCATATAATGTGTTTTCGTCTTTATTTCAAAATTTATTGCGCTGTGCATCAGAGTGAGAGCAATAGAACAAGCGAACAGAGAGCCAAAAATATCCCACCAATACACTGCAATCAATCAACGACGCAACAAAGAAAAGAGAGAAAACCAACACACCGACTACTCTAGACATGTGAAAGATGTTGGCTGGAATAAAACGTAGAAAAACTGTAGACTTTATGAAATGATGTACAGCGTTTTTTTTTATTTGAAATTATGTTCGTGCGTTCTGAATATAATCATACAATGACGCTCGTTTGGTTGCTTGAACTTTGAAACGGCGCGGCTCTTTTTACGTCATGGATTAAGTGAAAAAAAGAGAGAATAAAGTCAAAAAACGATAGAAAAAAAACACCAACTCCGAACTGTTTTTATCGTAAAGTTGCTCATTATTAGAATACCATATGATTACTGATCGAATAGAAATAGAACTGTCTCAAATGACAAAAAAGAGTTCAGCTCAGAAACTGATTCTATACATTAGGATGGAACGATTTTATTTTTTTATTTATTGGGAAGTGGCGAAAACACGATTGTTAGGACGAACTGACAATGTGTTGTGTATAAATCATATACTTTGACATTTGTTTGCGCTGGTGGCGTACCTAGTCAATGAAGCTAACTGAGCTATGTAGCGAATATGCATTGCGAGTGTCAAGTTGGTTATGTATGTATTTTGATAAAACTTCTTTGGCCATCACCTAGTTGCGCCACATGTTGCATCGTTCCACAGACATTGTCAGTTCGGTTGGGACATGTTAAACAAGAAAAAAATATTTCCGGACCCATACCTTCAACGTGCACCTGAGTGGGCTTCGGATATATTTTGAATATCTCCGATTTTTCTCTAAAAAATCTGAGTTTGATCTCAGACACTATATTGACCACCCGAAGTGATAAATGGTGATGTCAAGGTTAGCCACCGACTTCTAGAAGTGCAACAAATTGGCTCTGCACTCGCCGTTTCTGACTTTCCGTATGAAGAAAAAAACCGATCCATCCTATTATAACTGCAACAACCTTGAATGAAAAAAAGAAACAACTCATGATATTCTGTTATGTTTGTCTGGTGGAAAAAAAAAACGTCAAAAAACCGGTACGGTTTCATATGAGAATGTTAATTGTGATAATATTTTGTGTGTCATTCACAAATTGGTCAACCGCTAAACAGGCGACACAACAACAGGTGTAAGCTATACACACTTTTTCTTGACCAACAACAAGATATTTGACAAAGAGGGCGCTTTCTTATGGACATTCCTATGTACAGCTGTTGGCACCCTCTTTGGTAGTTTTAAAGAAATAAGAGAGTTTCCTATCATTGCGTCGACAGATAGATTATTTTAATCGCAATCTTGTAAATAGACTGCGGACTTTTGACTTGAATAGTAATCAAAGATTTCTTAGTTCTTACTTAAAAAGCGATTACGATTGTTCAAAGTCAATGTTGTTTTTTGTTCGTACAAGAAAAAAAAAACAAAAATCTAAAGAGTCATTTATAAGCGCTGAATTTTGACTAGATTATGTTTTTTGCGATATTTGTTGCTAAGAATGTCAAAATGCCCGCGTTGTTTAATTACTATTTGCGGTGTAAATCAATGATAATTACGTTCTTTTTTTTCCCAAAGGTTTCATGATGTAGAAAAAAATCCGAATCTTGCGAATACTTAATTTAAATTGATGAATACTTTTGAATCCACACCATTTTTGCTTCAATGGAATTTTCAGTTCAATAAATCAAAGTGCATATAAATCAAAAGAACGAATCGCATATTAAATGAGTTTGATGCAGCACGCCACAGGCGGAAGACAATCGGCAAATGTAAATCGATTGCAATTAAGAAAAACAATACAAAAAAAACGATTGAATGCGATGGTGCATAGAATGTGGTCGTTGTTTAGACTATTAATTAGTTTTTATCAATTTGGTAAAGACAATTAAAAGGTCTCAGTAGACGGATCGACACATGCTAATGGCAACCTAATATAATTACCACCGCATTTGGGAGTGTGTGACAAAACTCACCGCAAATATCAAGGCAAAATATCTACAATATCATGTGTCTCCGTGTGCAAACATTTGTCATGTTTACTTATTCCGTTGTCGAATTTCGATGATAAATCATCGAAAATTAGCTGCATGTGTTTCTCGTCGGACCTAGACCAATGCAAAAACAAGTGAAACACTCGAAAAGATCAAGTGGAAAAGCCAATCGCATGAAATTCTATTCTTTTTTGAACACAATTAAATGCAAATTGACGATGAATAAATATTTATTCGTCATTGTTTCGGCCGTCGTGCGCACGCGAGTCACTTTTTTCTCATTCTTCTCTACGTGCATGTGCAATTGTGCAATTTTGCATAGAAAAGGACGAGAGATCAACTTATCGTACGACTCATTGAAATCGGTTAATCAAAATTGCTTGAAAATTATATGGCGTGCGTATGTACGGTGCTCGCGAATCAAATTCCAGGAGAGTGTGCCTTGCACAGAACATAATTGAAAATGGCTGCAAGCGTTTTCTTTGCTTTCGCGCATAAATCAACAGATAATTTTTAATCGATCGTTGCAATTTGTTGATCGGCACGGGATTCGTGTGCTGAGAGATTGCAACGATAGAAGAAACGGTCGAATGCAACATAAATTGAACAATATTTAATGCAAATGTGCGATCGAAGCGTATGTGCCTCTGTGTGTGTGTGCAATCGACACTTTCATCATCTTTTTCACCTGCGGTAATTTAAATGCTATGGCACATGTTGAATCAACATTGTTGATCATATAAAACATGAGAAGTGGGGTGTGACAATGATATATTCATCGAATAAATTACGCTACGGCTATTTTAATCGATTTATAAATGTATCATTACAAACAATGACGTGGTTAGAATCAGGAACAGATCAATTTTTCACAATGAATTTTCAATCATTTGAGATCGATTCTAATTATGATTCATAAATTGGCCGGCAGCAGCAGTATTTGCGTTCATTATCGTTAATCATTCATTATTTGGTGATATGTGCGGAATTGAGATGCTGTATGCGCGCGTCGCTCTGGGAGATAAACCGGTCTGTGGTCTTCAATTAACATTCGTTCCATTATATTTGATCACGTTGATTGCGGTGAGTCACGTGATTGGTTCTATATCTTCTCGCTCTATCTCATTCTTTCAACCAAAAATGCTGATTATGCGGATATCAGAGCGCGTGCATCGGGAAGTGAGGCAAACAAAGCAATATATTGATGAATAATTTGATCAAACATCCCAACCAACTGGGAACAATGCCTCCAGATTTCCGTAAACGAAACCATTAAGCCGCACAACGAATATTATTCAATTTACTTTTTGTTGGTATGATAATAAGAAACTTCCTATTTAGATATCATTGCTGTTGCATTTCGAAAGAACTGAACGGAGAGCCAGTCCAAATCAGCGCCGTAGCCAGGCCGGCGCAATGGGTGCATTGCACCCTCCAAAAATTTCAAAGGTGCAACAAAATCGGGTGCAAAGTCGGGTGCAAAATCGGGTTTCAAAGGTGCAACAAAAGAAAAATTTCGATTTTGCACCCTCCAATTTTTTTTTCTGGCTACGGCGCTGGTCCAAATTCACAGTTCAATTCAGTTGTAAACGAACTTAATTGAATCGACGTTGTAGTTTTTTCGAACAAGTTTTATGGCGGCACTGTCCGTTCAACATACTTTGTTGCATTCAAGCAAATTTACTTTGTTGCCTCATTAACAACAACAACAACAACATTACTCAATTGACCGATCGGCAGTAAGGAATAAAAATGAATGCATGTCTCTAATTGACTTCAATTAATTTATTGAATTTAGAGGATTTACAAATGAGAAAATCACCTTTAAAACAAGTGTTCTAGTCTGAGCCTACCCTCGATCAAACCAACTTAATAGATAGTTAAGGCGTAAATCATGCATCATTCAATATTTGTTTGCTTCTTTTTCTTTTAATTTTTTTTCATCATTTTTTCTAGATTTTTGTTTTCTTTTTTTGATGTGTTGGACTGAAATCGTTTTGAATTGCGTTCGAGTCGGAAGTAGAAGGAGACAATAAATTTAAACTTTACCCGTCCTGAGCATTGAACTTATGGCATTTGACACATTCGCGATAAATGATTTAAATTTGCTGGCGATAACAATTTGAATGAAGGTACATGCTCTGAATGAGACTGTCTGATACACATACTGTGTAACACATGCGATGCGTTTACTGTGATTTTCAGCTAATTTCAACCATTTAACGCTTGCTTGACACTTTAAACGTCGATCAATGGGAATATTTTAAATGACAAATTTGAAAGAAATAATATGTTTAACAGAATTGAAACGAAGATGTTATCAAAATACGATTCCAAATTAATCATAGAGAAAATTGAATAATCTTGAAAAACCCTGAAGTTGATAGAAAAAAAACGAAAATAAAAACAGAGATTAAAACAACGAAATGAAGGCCATAAAAGCAAGAAAAAAAAATCATTTTGTTTGATTCAAAGTTGAAAAAGGGCATGGTTGTTATTTCGTTTATATTAGCTAGTCGTCCTAAATCCGCTAAATCTTGGCATTGATTCTTTTCTAATACAGTTTTTTTTAAACAGTTTTATCAGAACAGACGAACCGCAACCCAAACCCAATTATGAAAACATTTCACGTATGCAACGCGTACTAATAAACATGATGTAGACACACCAATACACAATCGATAATTGGCTACGAGAGAATATTATGGGGAATGTATGAGTGATTGATATTCATTAAAATTGGCAAAACCATTGGAACGTGTGTGGCGTTTTGGGTACGTGTGTTTGCAATGTTTGCATGTAATTTGAATGTGATGTGCTTTGAATATTAAATGGTCGGGCTAATGTCTGTCGTGCACGAACTGGGAAGATTCTTGTGGGTGTTCGTTCTATGCGAAATTTGTGTGACCCATAGCAGCGTAGAAAAATAGTATGTAATTAAGAAAATTAATAAAAATGAAGAAAAAAAATTGCTGATTATAAATAGCGAACGTGATAAAAATTTCGAATCGCAGCTCGTGCCATTTGACGGGCATTTGCAAAGTCGTCGTTCATTTGTAATTAGCCATCGTGGCAAGTGAATATACTATTCATCGAATAGATACGTTCCCTTTTATTTTCCACAGCAATTAAAATCGATTCATAAAATTCAATTACATTACCATTCTCGGGGCGGTCACATTCTTTTTTTTCTCTCTAATAAACAACTTTCCGCAAACTTGAACGAAAAGTGCGCTTTTTGAAGAGAGAGTCTTAGCTCGCCGAGCATTTTTGCATTTTCAACGCTCATTTATTTTGTTTTGTCAATAATTTAATTCGACAATTTGCAAATCAAATAAAATTGAACTTGTGCTTGACTTTTCGTGCTTGTGCTCGCCTAAACACACGTCGTTTGATTTCGATTCGAAATAACAATGAAATGAAGAAGAAAGAAAAAAAAAAAATGAAATGAGGACTTTGCTATTTTTCGTCATTGTTTTCCCATTGGACGCGCTGTTCAATTAAGTCACTGATATTGACATGAATGTAACAATGGCTGCCATCTTTTTTCTAGCACGTACAGTCACCACCGGCCCAAATCAGTTCAAAGTGTATGGCTATTTTTGAGTGTATTCATAAACAATTTAAATTGCTTTGCACAACATATTTGTGTGAATTTCACATTACCCATAAATGGTTGCATGCAAATGGACGAGAGAGCGATGATTCATCGAAGCTATAGTGTCAAGACAGTGAGGTTAGAACGTCATCGCAATAAACACAGACCAAAGGTGCTTACAATTCGCAGTACGAATTTTGCACACTTTGCTTTTAATATGCGAAATTGTAGCTATGACACAAACCTTGAACATTTTTGGTAAACACCTTTATTTTTCTTTGAATTCTGAATCAAATCGGTGAACAATATAGGGGAGATGTACCAGGTATGGGACGGGTTTTGTTAAGCTACACTTGTAAACTTACAATGTTCTAAATGACCTTTGTTTTGCAAATAAATAAAGAAAAAAAAACATCCATTTCAAATTACATTTAAATAATTTCACTTTATTTTGATCGAAAAAATTTGTTGTTTTTTTTAGTTCGGATCAAATGTGCCTTGAATTGACAAAAAGATTTCTCAAATTGGTTTTCTTAAAAAAAAAAAACGAGAAAGAACAACAAATAAGCCACCATTTAAATCGTACAAAAAGAGTAGAAATTCGTGTATTTTTTGTTGTTGTTATTGTTGTTGCGTAAATAGAATAAAATCGTATAAATATCCTAGAACCGTTTTACATTTATTTCTCTTATTGTGTGAATGTGTGTAAATATCAATCATTCGAATCAATTTTTGATTTTTTTTACTCAATTTTTTCATTTGTTTCATTTCATTTCTAACATTTGAAAAAAGAAAGCACATATTTTGGTCTTGAACGCTTGCGCCATTGCACTAGATAGTTTTTTTTTTAATTCAAAGGTTATATTCCAGCAACTGACATATGAGTCGACTCGATACAAAAAGCGGTTGATTGTTGTTGTTATTTTCCTAGCCATTTCTGCATATAAATATAGTCCATAGAGTCAATGTTGGCAATATCATATCGTATAGGTTTAGAAAAAGAGGAAAAAATGGACAGAATTATGTGTTGAACATGAATATCATTCATTAAACTGGGCCACAATAACCGTTCTTTGTTGTCTTCCAAATTTTATTGTTCATCGATTTTTTTTTTACGTCATTATAATTTATCATTTGTAAATATCAAAAAACATGTTCTTGCTTCTTCATTTTGTTTTCTAGCAAGTCTAGAAATCTTTTGTTTTTTATTCTACTGTGTATATAAATAAATGTCGCTTACAGATGGGGGCAGAGTAGAAAAAGAATTTTGGCAAGAGTTTCAGACATTGTTTGTATGTGTGCTGGAAAATCGAAAATATCTTCATTTCATTTGCTATAGTTGTTGTTGTTGTTCCGAGTTAAATTCGTTCGATATTGCGGTAACTTTACATTTGAAATTAGTTCCCAATTTTGAGCATATATTCATTAAATTCAACCATTTTACATTCAAATTCTCTCTAAATTGATTTTGGCGCAATGCAAAACATGTTGTGCCCACATTTATACAATTGAAAAACGAAAATCACCAGAAAAAAAAACACACACGAATTGTCTATGTGTTTTTTCCACTTACTTAACCTACTTTTAGAATAAAATAATTTTACATTTTACATAAAAACACAAAAAAATCGGCCTTTCCATCGTTTTTGTTGTTGTTGTAACATCGCATTTTGGTTTGGCTGGCATTTGTCGACCCTATCGCGATGAGCGAAGTTTCCAGCTCAAGAAAATGTATGCGCATACACGTAAAATCACGAAAATTACTACTAAGGCAACAATATCAAGTGTAAAGCTAGCATCAAGCATGTCCAATTCCTGTAATGTGGTTTCGGGCGAACGGAAATGGCAATACGTTTGATGGCACTTTAATTTTTCGCGACCAAACGAGTAGGTGGCCAATGCAGTGCCTTCGAATCCATATCGGATGTATGACAGATAGGTGATCCAGCGCAAGTAGATTGGAATGGCATCGAAGGATACGAAGAAACCGGAGAACAACAGGAATGGTACGGACATGACTGGAGCCAAGAAAACACCATTTTGTACATTCATTGCAGCGCCCACCACCAAACCAACACTCTGCGCCACGAACGAAATTAACAGACACGCCGCCAAAAACATAAAGTATCGATTCCATTCCAGCGGTTGCGATGTGAAATAATATACGATTGACACGTAAACCACGCAGAATATCGACTGAAACGGAAGGAGAAAATCATTGAAATTAGGTGCATATGTGAGGGAAGTGGATATATTGTGTTGAGCACGTAAATCAAAATATCATATTGGATGGTGGATGGATCATTTTTTTCTGATTTGACGGCACATATTTTCCGGTAATTGAACTCACCTGGAATGGTAAATCAGACACAGTGATTGCCAGGTAATATGATTTCAACGAATACCAGCGATTGAAATTTTCTTTTAGCAGCACAGGCATCTCAAGAGGGACTGAAATGTAGAAGATATCCGTGAGTTTGATGTTTAAATATTGCATTGTTATGTGAATAGTGAAAGATTAGATGACTTTTATTTTTCTACGCTTTCATGTCCAAAATGATATAAATCGAACTTTTTTATCAACCATTTTCAAATACTCACATGATAGAATTGTGATCGTCATGGAAGTGTACATCAAGAACAACATGTTGAAGAAGAGGAAACCTAAATTACTCAAAACTTTGCCACCATCGTTACCAATGTCGTAATAGAGAGCTCCGATCAAGAAACCGACCAAAATGTGTGCAAATAAACGAAGGTACATCAATGTCTAGAATGAAAATTTACTCATTAGCCATAACGTTTTTTTAAGTTGGTATTTTTTTCGCTTTTTGTCTCTTAAATCAATCAACTTCATTTCCAATTGTGTAAAGCCAATAAAAGTGGAATTTTCTTCATTTTTTTCCGTACCCAATCACGTCTGCTGAATAAAAGTGTACGTTTGAGCACTGTCCAGAATTGTCGGAACTGTGATGTTGGATAGCGTTCTGGCGAGTTAATTTCGTCTCCACCGAGTAGAGCCGAGTTAACTTCATCGATGTCTTTTTCATTATCCACTGGGATGGCAACAGTATCTAGAAAAGGTAAAAAGGTGAAAATGCCCAAAATTAGCAGATTTCTTTCAAGTTTTCTATCTTTTTCAATCTTTTTTAAACTTTTTAGGGCAAAAATTTTTAATTTAAAGAATGACTACCAGCTTTGCTCTATTTGAACTTTTCATGATATTTGTACGTGAAATTTATAAGTCCATCTATTGAAAAAACCCAAAATCAATGAAAGTTCAAAGTTTTTCATAGATTATCTATGGTATTTACATGTGACACATACAGCGCCATCTATTGAAAAAAGTCACAATCGTGTCAAGTTGAAATAAGGCAAAATAACCCAGAAAATGGTTGTCATTCTTTAAAATAGATTCTTTTTAATTAATCTTTTCGATTAATCAAAAATATCTCTAAAATAAAACTCTTTCTTCAATCTAAATATCCGCTTACTTTTGTCTTCTTTGGCAATATCGTTAATAGTCGATTGCAATAAGTTGGAACCGTTGGAGTTTAGGTTGTCGGTGAATTTCTCGGTGACATTGGTGGCAACGTTTTTGTCTAGATTCGCTTTCAAATTGTGTACTTTGGCGATATCAAAACGGCTCTTCAAACTGGCAAAATCGGTTTCGGTGCGAATGTCTTTGCGTCCATTTTCAATGGCGTTCATCAATTTTTTGGTGTGATCACCGTGTTCGCCGCAGGCAACTTCAATGATATAACTAGCTGGATTGTGATAACTAGGGCACTCCAAATTCAATGTACTCAAAAATGGCACCAATTGTTTGGTGTTTCCTTGATAAACGCATTGACCATCGGACAATGTGTACAATTGATCGAACATTTCGAACAAACGAGCCGATGGCTGATGAATGGTGCAGATGATTGTTCGGCCACCGCGTGCCAAAAATTTCAACAGGCTGATGCATTGGAAACATGTTGAACTGTCCAGACCCGATGTTGGCTCATCGAAAAACATCACCGGTGGATTGTTGACCAATTCCAAAGCGATTGAAAGACGCTTCTTCTGTCCACCGGACAAATTGCGTGTCAATGTGCGACGGTGCTCTTGCAAACCCAATGTGTTCAAAATTTCACCGATCTGAAAAAGTAAAATGGAAATTATTAGAAAGGGTTCAAGAAGCCTCATTGTAATATGAAAACCAATTTTTTCCATTGGAAACACAACAGCAATCAACCAATCTTCCATATTCTTCATCAATTATTCACCGGTATTGATTAGAATATTGAGGGGAGAAATAGCTTATTTCAATGATTTTATATTGCCGTTAGCCGATTCATTCATTGAATTGAACATTGAACCAATCGAATTGTGTTTTCAATGGAACATGATATAAATCATAGAAAACCAGTTTCTTTTCGCATACTAACCACAACATTTTTATCACTTTTCGACACTTTAACGCTCAGTTTGAGGTTGGCGGCAACAGTCATTGCTTCTTCAACCGTGAGATTTCCGTGTAGTTGGTTATCTTGCATGATGTAAGCGGAAAGTTTTCGGAACTGGCTGATATTTCGATCACGACCGTTCATTTTGATGGTACCATCTTTGATGTTTGACGATCTGTAATCGGATGAAATGAATCGATGCGTTATATAATTTTTCAATTGTAGCAACGAGTAGTCAATTGTTATTTTCTTATCGTAATCGAAAAGGGTAAACAAATGAAGATTTCTTCGAAAATGAAGAAAGTTTAAATCATAGTATAATTTTTTCCATTCATTGTTCAAGCGTGCAATCCAACGAAGAAATCATATTGTTCGTGAAAACTTGGCTAGTAAAAAAATCCGCAAACAAACAATTAAAAACTGCGTTGTTTGTGTGTGTGAAAAAGGTCGAAAGCAGCCGTATATCAAAGGTTTAGTCGTAATTTAGCAATGGAGTTGAAGTGGAAGCGCCAGAGTCACTGTCTTCCGTGATATTGAGATAAATTTATTCAACATTTTCATCGTCGTGCAGTTTCTTGTCGATTCATCATGAGCATCGAAATGCCAAACAATGCTTTCAATTCCAGGGTTATTCAGCGTTTTCAACAATGTTTCAAATGTATATCAATAATCATAATTTGTCGGCAAGCGTATTTTATTTTCCTTCTCTTAATCAACTCAACCGTACACGATTTCTAAGTTTATCATAGCGTAATTTACGTTAAACTATTACATACTTTTTTAATAAGTTTGCAAGCACGCGTTTAGTGAACTAGCTACAAAAACATTTGGTTTCATACAAAAAGATGGCAAGGTCTTGTGTTGCTCAAAGCAAACACTTTTGCCAACATCTACCATACACAACACTTTTTTTTCATTATTTTGTGTATCTTTTCAATAGAAATATGATAAAAAAGTTGTTGTGACCAACACAAACAGCTAAATATTAAGTTACGGTACAAACACGTGAGCAAAAGGTGTTATTGTATATGATTTATGTTTCCATTACATTTAAAGCGCACAATTTCGTGTTCCATCGTCGACTACAGTTTTCTTTTTTTTTTTTGCGAAGCAACTTGAAAGTTGTACTTTTGGCACTTGTGATTTATTGCACCATCAGTGGACATTTTTCGGCGACAGTTTGACTTTTCATCAAAATTATTGCACACTTGAAACAATGTTGGCGAAAGTGATAAAAAAAAACAATGACAACACAAGAGATTTTCCAATTTATACTCACTTGTAACCCGACAAAATGTTCAAAAGTGTTGATTTTCCAGCTCCGCCTGCAAACATGCAAAATTACATTAGCATCTGAAGATTCAATTGGCTATTTTAAGAGCAATTTGGTGTTTGTCTACTTACTTGGACCCATAATTGCCGTCAACTCCTTCGAACGGAATCGACCGCTGATCTTTTTCAAGATTTCTTTTTCATCTGTAACACAAAAGAATTGAAGGCATTAGTCAGAGAGAGAGAGAGAAAAGAAACGTTCTCAGCGATCTAAATGGAATATGAAACAAGTATTCAAGTTGAAAAAACGTATTCAAGTCATACTGAAGTGGAAACTCCACAGTTTTTGAGGAATGCAAAAATGTAGGATGAAAAAATATTGGTAAATGGTGGAATAAATCAAAAATCCCATTCAGAACTTTTAAATGAGAAAGAAAGTGGAGAATTTCGAATGATTTGGCAATTCTGAAATACAATGTGGTGACCATTCATCAATCCTAACAAGAACCTAGGTGCTTTATGTTCTTATCCAATTGGCATCGATTGATTTGTTCTAAATTCGACATTCAGGCAAATTTGTCTAAATTAATCGTTTCTAGGCGAAAGAAAAGAAACAATTCATAAATCGTTTAAATTGAATTCATTGAGAATTATCAGCTTTTAATCATAAAGCCATTGAAAGCCGTAAATTAGTCGTTATTTTAATGAAAACGGGCTTATCAATTGGAGTATGCATGTCGAAATCACTTGTCAAATCGTATGCAATTCCAAGTGGCCAATGTCCACACTCTATGATTATTTTTCAATTCGATTTTTGTGCAATATCTCTCATACGTGATTACGAGTGACTACGTCAATTGAACTTTGGTACATTGGCATACGTCGATGTGTGTGTGAGTGAGTATTTTTTGTTTGAGGATTCCGTATGTGTCTTATCTTGCTGGGAGATTTTTTTTCTGTTTCGACTGTGTGTACTACACACTAGGGTTAACACTGTTCCACACACACACACACATAAACAAACCGCAGCGAACAAAGAGCATGTAAATTTTACGACGAATCATTGTGGATTATTCATTTGCATGAACGGCAAATGAATCAACATTTTCGACTTTTGCCCTTTTGACATTGTGTACACTTAAAATTCGCCTCCGCGTTGATGGATGAATGAGCAAAAAATTACTTGGAAAAAGGAAAAAACACAGTGTGAATATACACACTTCAAGGGAAAAACAAAAAAACCGATTCGAATTGTATGCATTTTGTGAGATAATACCATGAGTTTGTGTTATTCCATTTTCACGCCGGAACATTGTGCATGACAATGACAGTTGACATCGGCCATTTGATATGCGTATGTTAATAAACTGATATATTTCTCTTGACGTTTTATTGTTTCCAATCGTGTTTGGAGATTAACATTGATTACCATGCAGTAAACAAAGTACGTCAACCTGCTCGCTTTTGTGTTGCGGAGAATAAATGAATCATGACGCTAAATGCAAACTCGAAAAATATACGCGGAATTGGAAAACCAGATGGGAAAGATCTGAAAAACTGGAAACGAAACTATGATTCCGGCCACCGGAATGGAACCAACGTCATTTGACAAAAACCGAACAATTTTTTTTTTGCGGAATATTTCACCAAGCTTAAAATATATATTCAACTTGTGATGATATTCATGAATTTTTTTAAAGAAAAAACCAGCTTTTGGCTCTCTTTTTTTCTGATTCGTTGAAAGGGAAAAGGCAGAGATGATGAATGTCAACAAATTTGATCTAATCGTTTGGCGTCTGAATTCATTGTCATCACCATGCTAACAATAAAAAATTAAGACAACGCACGCATTCACCTCGACTTTCAAATTCCATGCCATGGGAAGAGCAACCGAAATAATGATTGAAGAGCAAACAATCACGATTAAATTGCAAATGAGTAGAATCGGTGGAGTCTTTTTCATGTTCGGAGAGAGAAAAAAAAACTTAATCTGGAGCCTCCTTTTTCGCCAAATTGTCCAGTTTTAAAAGGATTCAATAATCATTTTTAGGTTTTTTTTTTTCACTTTCCTTGGGTTAAACCAATCGGTTTGGACTCGAGCCAGTTTTCGTATCGATTGATTCCAAAGCAGCCAAAGAACATCTGATAATTGCATCACCCGAATGAAATGCAGACTAATGGATTGTATCTAAATCGCAGATCGCACATTAAATGCGGAAAATATCATCAAGTTTTTTCTCGCTTCCGCTGTTATTGCCCGTGTCGCGGTGATTTGCACACGTAAGCGGTGTGACTTTATGACGATGGGTATTGCGGTGTTTTTGTTATGTTTCTTGCTAGCATTTCGATATTCTTGCTCCGTCTTTGTCCTCTTGATCTCTCTTCACTCCGCACACAATGCCTCATTATTCCGTGCCGAATAATGCATACACAACTCACTGATAATGAAGCGAAAAACTTGTTTCAAAGCTCACGCTCACACATCCACACTGGCACGAAGGTACAGATCAAGGTCTATATCATTTAATACATATGTTTGCATACGATTAATTTTTGCCACAACAATATATATATATATATTTTTATATTTTGTTTTAAATGCGGTGTGTGTGTTTTTGGCATTACTTTTTTTGTGTTTCTTTTCTCGTTTGACTTTCAGACTGGCGAAATGGGTTTTGGTTTTTCGATTTATGGCTATGAAAAAGTCCACAATTTGAGCAAAAAAAAAAATAAAATAAAGAGTGAAACAGGTTTATATATGGTGACTATAAAATCACTACGTTAGTAAGAATGGAATTTTCGAATAACCAGATGATCAATGTGGTGAATGCATTCAATTTGCAGCGTATTTTTTTTTTCGTAAACAACCGTTCGATTTATGCCACGAAAAAAGTTCATATTTAATTGTATGACCTTTGCTGTCCCCGTATAAATACCTATCTCTATGGAAATACCAGCTTTTTTATGAACGTTCAATTGAAAAAGAAGAAAACAATTCCAATTTGCATCGAAACCGATCCGATGGAAATAATTGCTGTATCCATTCCGATAACACCGTTCACTTCGCCCACAAATGGATGAACGAACGGGGCGGACGCCTTCATCGCATTCATTTTCTATCTAATTATTTATAAATACTGATTTTATCGCTTTGGAAAATCATCATCGCGCCTGAATCGTTCGACAAATCATCGCTGTTTGCCTGACTGATTTCAATTTAGTGAGTCTCGCACTATAACAACAGCCACAATTACAGCGAAAAAAAAGCAACAACTACAATTAAATAATAAAAATCAGAAACTTCTTTTTTTCAATTGCTTGGTTTCGTGTCGATTTCGAAGCAAACGAAAAAAAATGTAATGAATAAAATTGTGTTTTATTTGTACAAACGAATGAAAGAAGCAACAAAAAAATTCGACAACTCGGCTGGTTTTTTTCCAGGTGACCTAAGCAAGTTTCGTTTTATGAACTTGTCCAGTTAAACGTGTCGAATTGACCGCTTTATGAATGTGCTTTTTTCAGATTATGTGGTAATTTGCTTTAATTTTTCGGCCATTTTTTTTTGGACTACATCAAATGTGGATGGCTAATGTTCTAGTCGCCAAAAAAATATTCTGCGAAATATGTTTGTGGCATTGCCACAATGTGGCAACAAAGCGCGTAATAATCTTGATTATTTCCCACATGAAGCACGACTATTCATGAGATTTAATTGCGTATTACGGAAACGTGTTTTTTTTTGATTTACCATTCCAACGAATTCCATTCAAACAGCCGCTGAATAGCTCCGGGATTATAAATCACAGAAAAATAAAATTGATGATGATTGTAAATCAATATTGAAACGATGTGAATTTAAACAATACACCATACAATCGAGCCCTTATCACTTGAGCACTTATTGTTGTTTTTGTTACTGCTGTTGCCACTTTAAAGTTGTTATTTTTCGCGATTAGAGATTAAAAAAAATCAATAGATTCAATGCAGATAAACATCGAATGGGCTTCAATTAAAATAGATGATGTGCTGAGACAGTTTGGTGCTGAATTTGCCTTTTGATTATTTCACATACACAATTGGAATAGAAATCGGAAGCGTGAAATGTTCATTCGCGATTGTGGAAACCGTTGACCTCAAAAATTGCAGTCGATGTAGTGTGTGCATTCGGTCAATGACATTTTCAAATTTGAAAAATGAAGCAAACAAATAATAAACGATAGAAAAAACTGATACTTACGATTTCGTCGTCCCTCGCGCACGCTGTACACCAAGTCATGGAATGCTAAATCGACGGGCGGCCGTGATGGCAGATGTGATAGTGTCTTCGGTTGTGCTGGAACAATCTGCAATTTGATTGCACCGCTTTTCCTATCATCAATTAAATTATCATTAACGCAATCGCCTTCAACCATTTTGCGGCTATTTTTAGATGCTTTTTTTGTTGTTTCAAAACAAAATTTCCACTTCGATGGCTTTTATTGCTTTGTTTTTTTTTCTTTCCTCACGAATTTTCGTCTATTTCTGTTGGCTTTGCTGTTAGAATTTGCGCATAAATGTCGCGAAATCACTTTTAAAATCGTCTCGATGATTGAAAAAAGTGCTCATATCACGCGCACTTCTAACTAAAGGCACATTTGAATATTTGATCTCATTCACAGTGCGATCAACATGAATTGCAGTTCGATAAAAAAAAAATGTATGTCCCCTTATCAGTGTGTATGTTGATATATTGGGTCGTGTCGGTTTGGCCTTTGGCTCTTTGTGTTTCTGTCACTGACAAACAAAGGAAACGCGTTCTGTTTTTTTCTTCTTCTTCTATTTAGTAAATCGTTTATAGCGTAAGAGACAAACAAAAAACGGCGTAATTCTAGTTCACTCGTAGTTCAAATCGATACGTAATTTGTTTCGAAAAACGCCGAACAAAATCGAAACGAAAGTGAAATAAAAAATATGCAAAACTGAAACACAACAACAAAGGACTTTTGCCTTTACGAAAAAAAATTCAAAAATATAAAAATTGGGAACGAACGAAATAAAAAATTGAAGAAAACTCAACCGAGCGACAGAGAGAGGATCGGACAGCCTTTGTTAACTGCTGCCTGCCTAAATTCATACTAAACCATATTACATACGGCAACAACTCGGTAAACTCCACTCGACGCCTGTGTTCATTTTCGATTTGTTCGAAAACAATGTTTGTGAGCAAATAGTGAAACGAATACAATGCCAATTGAGCAATAGCGCAATGAATGTATACCATCACACAGCTGTTTCCAGTATGTGTATGTTCATTTCATCGCTCCGTTGTGCCATTGTGTTTGTGAATTGCATTGAACACTTCTCTTCTTTTGATAGTGTGTGCATGATCTATACAAACACACATCGCTATGACACATACCGATGTATATATAGTCACGTTCGTGCAAACAAAGTGAATCTGCACAATTTTGTATACAGCAGCAATAGCAGCAGCAGCATTCAGAACGGTCTGTGTATTGCATTGGCTTCGGAACGTGTGCTGCGTTTACAATGCTTCGTTCAAAATCTCTTTGTTATTGCTTTGTTGTGGCAGCGGAATGTAATGAGATTTTTACGAGTATTTACGCAATGCTCGGCATTTGTATCGTATTCAGTGCGTTGTTATTATTGCCGACGATGTCGTTCGTTCGGCAATCTCGTGCACGAACATGCGGTGAACACTAAAAAACTTTCCGTTTTAGTTTTCTCAATCGTAATTGTAATCTCTCGGTGTGCATTTGTGTGTGTATGAATGCGTGTTTCTAACTGAAATACGAATGATAGTTTGTACGTTATGGCGTGGCCATAGCTAGAGTTTTAGTACACCATTATAATGTATTATTTATAATTGAATTTGCTTGCGCTAAGCGTTCTTAACACTTTAGCACCGCGACTATTTTACACCACATCACTTTGTGTGTGTGTTTTTTTTTTGTATTGTTTCCTAATCGGTTGATATGTGGTAATGTTCTCTTTATCACTGGAATGTTGAAAGGGGCATAGAAACTAATTGAAATTATGTTTTTCGATGATAAACACCATTTGATTGTTTCAATTGAATTTATGACCGCCACGTTTTTTGTTCTCTCTCTCTCTCTCTCTCTCTCTCTCTCTTTCTCTCTATCACGATATGATTTCATTTAGTAACAGTAATTACGGCGTGAAGAGAAAAAAACGTGGAGCTTAGTCGGTGCTATAAAGAAAGAAAGAAAAAAAAACTGACAAGCTAGATTGGTATTGATAACGTGAGCTATTGTAATTATTCGGTGCACGTAACACAGTCCAAAGTTGATGTTTGTACGCATTCGGTTCGAGGTAACGGGTGTCATTCGTCCCAAGTCGATTACTAATTAATGCCGGCCCGTTCAATATGCACACTTTTTTCTCTCCATTTTATTGAAGCGCACATTCATTGTCCAATCGATACATTTTGATCTAGATCAGAGTTCTTCGATAGCTGTGACGCAACCAGTGTGAAGCGTTAATCTAAATTAGTCAACAACATGTTTACAGGCTTATCAATCAATTTGAAACGATTTCATTCACACAACTATCATTGAAACATGTGCGAAACCGACTCATCGAGTCAGACTCAGGCATTGAGTGTCTATTTCATTGACTTCTGGTACATGCTGCACCCAAGTTCGTTTGGATTAAGATAAGAGACGGAAGCCCGTTCGGCCGGGCAAAATGCCTGTTCTCTTTTTCTTGCATTGCATTTTTATCAACACTTTCGAGGCCTACAGAAAAAAAAAACTAACTGAACTTTGATCAATTGCGGTGAATTCGCACTTCCTAATCGGGTACGGGCTGTTATTTTCGACACCATCGACAATTTCATTGATATAATTTTTATGACTGCCATTTAACGCACTGACCGCAACAATTCTGGATTTTGTTCAACCTCAACTGTGCTACCGAGCACACTTACACAGCAAATACGCTATCCGTTTATTGGTGCGACAACAGAGGGGCCACAGCGGAATAGAAGTAAATAATCACATTGTAGACTTTGTTCAGAAAAAAATAAAATTCTGTTATAATTTTTCTGTGTTGCTCAATATCATCGGACCGCGTACACGTCATTTTATGTGTTTGTTTGTGTCAACGCATTTCAAGCGGCGTATTATTTGCACTTGAGACCACACATTTTCCATCGTACAGCAAAATATGAACTTTTATTATCATCAACGTCACACACAGCAACACATATAGTACCAAAAATGGTCGATTGACCCACATTAAAATATACGTTTTTCTCTTCAAAATAACAACTCATTCGCTTTAGAATAACCTTTGCTGGCCATGTTTTTAACGTTGAATATTATTGCTGAAATGACTGAAATCACGCGTAGAATACAATGAAAATGCAGAAAAATTGGCAGCAAATAAGAAACGGACGAGAGAAAAAAGTATATGCAAGAAATGATAAGACAAGTATTTGTATGAATCTTATTTGTTTGTTTGTTTTTTTTTTCGTTCTGCTTTGCTCCAATTTTCTATAATCAAATGACATTAATTTGTGGTCTGTCATCGTTTGAATATGCATCGAGTTGTCCCTAATTCACTATCAAAGTTGAATGTTAAAACACTGCCGTTTTTTTTTTTCATTCCTTCAGTCGGAATTTTCAATTTTGAACGCTTGGCTGCGGTTGTGCCGTGTTAATGTGCATTTTTTTGAGTCAAGGTTAGAAACATCGTACAATTTAATAATTCTTTTTTTTTCGATTCGATTTGTTTTGATTTGTACTTCTTTTTCTTTGCATATCTCTCGCATGTCCCACTCCAGCAAATCGGCACGATGGATTTTCAGTGCGAACCCATTAAAAAAAAATACTTGTTGCTTCATTACATTTGCTCAATCGCTGTGGTGCGTTCGCCTCACCGACTGATTTGAATGAATCAAATCTGACCAGGTGTTTGTTGAAACTATTCCATGCCATTTCAGCGCATTACCACGATTTCAGCTCATGATTTACAGCGAAATCCAGTGCTTTATGATTCAAAAGGCAAAAACCACAAAAGAGAAATTTTATTTAAAATCTGAAAAGCATTCGCTTTCAACTGACGATCATTATGAAGCGTAAGCATCACAAAAGAAAATAAAATTTCGTACTTAACTTGCTTTGTGGCTGAAGAAAAAAAAAAAGATTTTTTTTCTCGCATTTTCTCTGATTAACGCTCCCTTATAGCTTGGTTTTGTTACACAATTGTTGCTATGGCTAGTTTTTCTATTACTGTGGCTATGCACAAATTATGTATTGTTGACGTCAAAAATTCATTATTTTGCCGTTTTTATGACGCTTGCCAATTGCAACTAGTTCCATTCAGGCATTTGTTTCTCATTCAAAGCCGCATCGAATAAAGCCGTGCATCAAGCAAACGCTTTCTAATTTTAGAGTCAATGCTATTTTATCTTGATGCTGCTCATACATATTTTCTATTCGATCGACTACTAACTAACGAAGACGTGCATTATCAATTTTTTTTATAGTTAGATCGCGAAGATTCACAACGGCTAAAATCGTAAACATTTCCATTTGTTGGTATAAAATTCGGAATAAATTATTAAATAATCAAAAGTCATAGTTTCCTGCGTGACGAAGATCGAATTCATTGGCAAAGAGATACAAATGTGGAAGGAAGTGTGTTGAGCATAATAAATGCTTGATCATCATCATCATCACCATCATTATTAAATATACGAAGAAAAAAAAAACAGCAGCATGAACATTCATTGCGGAAACTTAGACACATCAATATGTGCAATATCATTCCTTAAATTGTCAAAAGTAGCCCATTTCCATGAATGCTGCTCGTAGTCAATTGAAAAGTAAGCATTTGTCGATCGAAAAAAAAGTGCTATCATTTGCGCTTCCGAATGCTATTTATGATCATTGTTTCTTTTGTACGATTTTTTTTTTCAGTTTGTAATTTATTCAATGTGCAAAGAATATGCTTGTGGCTGGGCACGAGCTACATATATTCGATTGGGTGACCTTCAGTATATATACTCAATATTTACCAATTAATTCTTGCCATCGATTTTTTTTCCAATCGTGTATTGGTTTTATGTTAGCGATGCGTTCCGTTTGCTCGTGTAATTATTTTATTTTGACTGGAATATTTCAATGAAATTCGATTTTTTTTTTGTTTCATTCGTTCACTTCGGAGCATCAGCGTGCAAAACTTATCATTGTACTTGGGAGAAACCTTTTGCGTTGTTTCTGTTTAGAGGCGACGTAAACGAGCGTCGTATCAACTTTTTTTTTCTCTATTTTATTCAAGGCGCCGCATCGAAGAGTAGGAAAGAGCAAATTAAAAGCTAATTTTGCTTGAAAATGTGACAAAATAGTGGTGCAGATCAAGGAAGCGGCGACGTTCAATACGACGACAGAGAGAGAGAGAGAGATCAAGATTTAAAAAGAGCAGACAGATAGAGCGAGATGAGATGAATGAAGCGAGATGAGAGATATGAGAGAAAGATCAAGATTTCTATCGCCTGCTTCATAGTTGTGTGAAAGTCATACAATTCGTTGACTTCTCTAGCAACACAGCTGCACATGTTCACTCAGCTCATGTGTTAATCTTTTGACATTCTCTGACACTGCAGCATTACTAATCGATCAGTTTAGATTGTTTTTTTTTTCCTTTTCAAATCGATTGATCGAGAAAAAACTGCTGGTGCTGATCATGCCGCTAGCGTATGGCGTCATTTAAATCTCATTTAGTTTTTATTTTCATTACTCGTTGTTTGCAATTGAAAATATGTTGAAATATTGACATTTTTGCTATGATTTACTGTGTAATTGCGATTCATTGTGTGTGGCGTAGCGAGCGTGCGATCGGTTTGGGTTATTTGTTGTTTCGCTCGAACGATTTTCACGGTTTGTGTGAATTTGAAAAGTCATTGGAATCGGCACGAGTTCATCAAATGACTTTCTTCATTTTTTTTCTCCATTTGTTACTGCTGCCATTTTATCATTATTATTGTGCGATTGACTAATTGTGTATTGTGTGTGCGATGAACAGTATGTTTTGGTATTTGCAAATTCTCCCTGTGTGGATGATATCAGCGTATGACTCTATTTAGATTAAAAGAGTCAAAGATTATCGGGATTGTTGTGTGCATGTACGCATATCTGTCGTACAGGAGAAATCTGTGTCAAAGGCTTGCGATTTTTCTTCTGTTTCTTTATTCTGCTAGTCTAATCACTTTATGTCGTTTGAAATGAAGTAAGCGCAACAACGCTATTCGATAAATTAATATAATTATGGATTGATTTCAATAATTCTAGTTAGAAATTCTAAAATCAAGTCCGAGCAGCTAGAAACTATGACTCGTTTCACACACATGTGTTTGCGCGCACTCGTGCATTGACAATATTTTGCTGTGATTTTTTTTTATTCTTTCCTCGTCTCCAGCCGTCTCTATTTACCTAAACCAACAACAGCAAATTAACAAGTTTTTTTTTCTGTCTCGAAAAAATAAAGTTGCTCTTGCCTTATCTAATTTGAGAGCGTATAGTTTGAGCAAACTACATTTTTTTCTTCTTTCTGTGTATATCATACGTATCGATCGGTATGTGCGTATATTTGCGGTGTACAAATAACGTCACAAATGGCTCTCGTTCAAGTCGGCCAAAAGTTGTTTGACTTGTAACTATGCAATGGTTTTGTTGAAATATGATCCAAATTCGATGGGTAAGATTGATCGTTCGAGAATGTTGAAGGAATGGTCTCGAATGTGAATTATCAGTAGAAGATTAAATTCCAATGGAAAATGACCTAGATTTAATCATGGAAAAAAGCGCCTCTCCGAAATGTATCTGCCATCTGATATTGATGTGTACTGTTTTGCTTTACTTTGCTTTACTTTGCTTTGTGCGCTGCACTTTGCCTCGGCGTTGTGTTGCAAATGTTGAAATACCTTTCAACCAGTTTTCAATTACGACCGTTTCGATTTTATTCAAGTAACAAGTAATGATACATTTGGCTGGTGTGATTGCAGACAAATGTATGTTGCTACTTTTTTTATTCGCACTGACTGGATCGTGCGCTCGTGTTAAAGTTGTTTGGTGACAGTCTTGAATAGCTTGGTTTCACATCGGCGCACCAGAGTAACGATTAAGTGGCGATGAAAATAAATGTGAGTGAGGCGAGAGACGAAAAGGGGAGAACAACACATATACAAACAAACAAACAAAAAATAACAGAAACCGGCACGTAAATTGTGATTTTTTTAATGACCTCAATGGGATGGAAGTTTGTATGCTGTCGTCAAGAATTCAGCTCATTTTGTATTCCATCTATGCCTTTAAGTTGTTCAGCCATATCACACGGCGAAGACGAAGACGACGACGACGACGACGACGACGACGACGAAGACGACGACGACGGATGAACAAAGCAATAAAGCCATTCGAAATTGAATATTTTAATCGGGATTTATGCGTAGAATGACGGTGGTTTTCTTCCTCTCATTTCCGACAAAACCAGATAGTTATTTCGGTTCAATTCGAAGAAAAAGAAGAGAAAAAAACCCCAATCATTGAACGATCGAAACCTGTAATTCTATCGAAAAATTACTTACTTGTTATTATTATTCAATATATAGTCACTGTCTAAATCCATGTTTTTGAACATTGAGCACGTATCGAATGAGAAAAAAATGTGCGATAAATTCGAATTTGTACCAAAAAAAAAAACGCGGAGTATAATCACATTAATTTCCTTAGGAAATTAACACTAATGTCATTTACATCAATGACGAATAGATATCAGACGTGACGTACAAACGCGTACGCAAATGCGAAGGCACTTTGATAATTTATTTGTTGTTGTTGTTGTTCGTTCACTTCTTCACGATAGATTCACGCTGCTCTTTGGCGATAGAGATATATGTAAATGGTATTCTTTTTTCTAGAGGACAAAACTTATATACAACACACACGCGACTCTATTTTGTGGATACTAAACTCGACAGTGTGGACACATTGACACTTTGTTCATTATAATTCAATGAATTTTTTTTCTTTGATTCCAAAAAACCAATTCTTTCTTCTTTTTTATGCTCTTTTAGCTTTTTTCCTTCTCTTTTCCTCGTATACTACAAATAAAAATATTTTTTTCTTCGAAAATTGTTTGAAATTCCGTGAAAATGCTCGTTTCTATTTATCTCCGGGTTTGAATTTGTGCAAAACTATTTCAGCACGTTGTATTGAGCAATGTCAATGAAATATTTCACAGTTGCTTCGTTGCTCTAAGATTTGTTTATATTTCTATATTCTTACATACACAGTTGTTGGTTTCTATCACTGTGTAGTTTTTTTTTCTATAAATCACCCATCCTTTTTGTCACAACCAGTCCACATTGAGCAAAAGTCCGACAACAACTAACTAGCTCGGCGTTTTGATTCGCAGAGTAAATGTCGTCGATTTCCCCAACACACTCTAGAATGAAAAGCAACAAAAAAAAACTATATATGAAACCATAGATACACAATGAAACGACACCGCACACCGTAAGAAGGAGCACGCAAAACGATCAACACAAGAGAGATATAATATTGAATTATGGTAGCGTTAATACGATAGAGTAGCGCCAAACTAAAGCGAAACAGAGACACAGCACTCACTTGAACAACAACGACAACAATATAAATTTTACACTTGGTACTGTTTAGTTAACGTATGGCTCTATCCATATTTCTATTGTGCTGTGTGAAGAGTTGAGCGTGTGGCGCGCGCGGTGTCGCACTGCCTTACGATTTTTTTTCGATTAAGCCGTTGCGGTAAGCGAGCGTATGCGACTCATTTCGTTACGTTTGTTTTTGCAATGTGCTCATTTAGATTCGCACACGCAGCCGCCGTCTTACTTTATACGACGAACAAATGCAGAAGAAAAAAACAACTTACCCAGAGACAAACGCTGAGAGATTTCAACATCATTCTGAATTTATAATAATGATCAAGCCAGTATTATGTACATTCATTTTCATCTGCAATTACTTTTTAATTGACTGGCTGATTGGATGACTGACATTTTTTTTTCACCTGCAACGAAGTTCTTATGCAAAAAATGAACGCTGGGAAAAAAGAGCATTGTGTTTTTTTTCTTCAATGTTTATGCCTATTATTTTTTGTTTTTATTTAAATTTTTTGCTTTTAAAATTTATTTTATCTACCATTTTTCTTTAGAACTAACACTTTACACATACTTTTTTATTTTATTACTAACGTAATTTACAATTGGTTTGTTCCGAAGACTTCATGTTTTTGTCATGATTTATTTCTTTTTATCAAAACGATTTGGTTTCAAGTGGGCTACGTCTTTTGCTTCAAATCTTATCGGTTAGTTTGCTGAGTATCTGATTGATTTTTGATGGCAATTGGTTGTTGTTTTTTTTCTTTCTCTTCGTAGGTGTAGTTTTCTGATGTTGGTTTTAATTAATTCCGAGGAAAAAATGATCGAAAACTAGACTCGCTTCATGTATCAATCCCTTGGAATTTTCATATTATTTTTGTTGTATGTATTTCTTCCGTTTCTCCCTGGTTGTTCTGCTTTCTTCAGAATGTCAAGACATTGCGAAAACATGATTGTTCGAATTCTGAATTCTGTAATCGAATACAAAACAATTCAGTAAATTAACAAATAAATGAAAATACACAAGGTGTACTTACCGTTTTGAAAAATTCTTACCTCCGGAATGCCCTTCGACACCTATTTCATGATGCGTTCTCGATGCAGAATATTTTCGACAACAAGCGCTATTATTTTGTTATAGAAAATTAGTTCGTGTTAAAGATGCAGCGCAAATATATCGAAATTATCTTTATTGTTTGTTGGGTTTAGGGTAACTCGGTATATATCTATTGAACCTGTGCATGAGCCAGAAGATCCCATGCGGATTAATTGTTTAGATTAATAATTAAACTTGATTTGCGTGGGATATATTGATACGCATAACAGCTTTTATAAATGTATCCCGAGTTATATGAAAACCCTACGTACAATAGATTGATAACTACGACATATTTATGTTGCATCTGGGATAAGAAAAAATTGTTGACAAAAAAAACCATACCATAGATTGAAACTGCATCCAAAATCACTATGAATACGCCCACTTAAATGAATCATTTTGTTCGATTACATGACGTGTTGATTGCACTGAGTGTACTACTCAAATGGACGATTAAGTCGGGTTACAAATCATTTAAATCGTACGAGTTTGCTACAATGACTACTGTGCCATCATATTCGCCAATATCTACAACGTAAACGCGTTGTGTGCATACTGCATATACAATACACTGCTTTGCAACGATGTTCGTTAATGGGAATGCGCAAGAGTTCGCCAAGTTGTGGAGCGGGTTGTGTATTCTGTACAGCCCGACTTGATCGTTCATTTGAATAAGCTTTGATATATAGCATAACTTGCGATGAAATAGAAAAAAACGACTATTTTCAATGTTTAACTATTTTAAACATATGTACGCTTCAAAATGATGAGTTAGCACCTTTCCGATTTTGATAACACTTAACTAGAAACATAAAACGAATTTGCTTGTTGCTTAGACATTTGAATTTCAGTATTGCATGCAATTGAATCGATGTTAATAGTTGCTTTTACTTAACGCTTTCATAGGATATACTTTTTAAACAAGATTTTTTTATATGACGGCATGACCAAATGATATTGATTATATTATGGTGGCTCTTGATATTTAACATCTGACAAAGAAGTACCAGGAGATTTTTTTCATTAAAGGGTACGATTGTACGACATTCTAATGCCTATTTATTAATACGAATTCCAAAGAATCAACAATATTTTCGGCAATGATAGTTTCAAATTTCGAAGCTGAAAAAATGCCGTAAAAACATATAAACGCAATTAGAACGCAGAATTGTGTTGATGTAACATATTTTCTGAAAATCACTAGTTTCTTCCGTGGATTGAAAAAATATCTGCAAAGTATGTTTAGAAAAAAAAATTCATTCAAAAGTGAAAAAAAAACCTTGAGTTAAATTCATGAATGTGTTAGATAACATTAAACGGTTTTTCAAAATGATTGCATGAAATTATGAATTCAATCAATGTATTTATTCAAATGAATTATGACAAATATTTTCAATTTAAATTGAAGTCAAACTTAACTACGGTAATAAAAATCCATGGAATTAGTAATTTATTTCTTCTTCAAACGGTGAACTCTTTTGATGTGTTGATTGATATCACTTTTACATGCAAAGCTTGCTGCACATACGTTGCATTGAAACCTCTCTCCGGTGTGATCTTTTCGCATGTGAGTCTTCAATTTTTGTTTGTCCCGACAATTTTTCCCTTCACACAAATGGCATTCGTATTGACGGTAACGACAGCTTTCTTCATGCGCCATTTTTTCATCTTCGGTTGCGTATCCTCCAAAGCACTTGGAGCATCCAAACGAGAACTGATCACTATGTGCATTTGCTAAATGCCGATTTAGTTTCATCTGATCAACGAATTTTATGCTGCAAATTTCACATTCAAACGATTTTTCAGCTCCGTGCATTGATTGCATGTGCCGCTTGAAACAAGTCTTGTGACCAGTTCTGTAATGACACACATTACATGCGAAAAGACTTCGTTGGCAATGCGTTTCGTGTGTTTGCTTATCACCTGGTGTGGCGAATCTTTGGCCACATTTCGAACAAGCATTCGGCAGTTCATCGATGTGAGTCATTGAATGGCTTCGGAGAACAGCGTTTCTTGCGAACGACTTGGAACAAATTGAGCACTCGAACGGCTTTTCTTCTGTGTGGATCCGCATATGTCTTGCCAAATTTGATTTGTGCATTGCTCTGTATCTACAAATATCGCATTCGAATTGCTGGGGATTGCATAACACTTCGTGGTCGATCTTGACTGATTCTTGCTCAAATCCTTGGCTACATTTTGAACAACGGAATCGGCCATGCGTTTTCTTATGACTGTTCAGATTAAATTTTCGTGCAAAGAACTTCAAACATACATCACACTGATACGGCTTCTCTCCAGTGTGAGTTCGCAAGTGTACTTTGAGGTTAGAGTTTTCACTTGCCAAATAATTGCACACATGACATTTGTGCTTCTTTTGCTTTTTGACCGCTTGATTCCTGGGAATCGTTCGTTTGTTTCGTCGATTTGAGCTTCCATTCTGTTTCTTCTGGCTGCCGACTGGTTGCGATTGTTGCACATCAATTGCATCACCCATAGGCTCTTCTTTGTCGTCATTATTGGCGGTGTCGCTTTCATTCGATCGTTCACATGGTGACGAGTCCCTTTCCTCGCCCATCCCTCCTCCTTCACATTTGATTTCATCCTTTACCTCATCAAAGTCATAGCCAAAGTCGAACGTTCCTTCATAATTGGCACGATATCTTCCCACAACTCTTGGCCGTGGTATGTTCATGACTTCGTCACCATCGTTGGGCTCTTCCTTAATACCAGGCTCTTGCTTAACTTCTACCTTTGCGGATTTCGACTTGCGCTTACGTTGTCCACTAGAAACACTTTTGAATGGGTTCATTTTCTGTTGGAATCAGTGGAAATATAAGAAATAAAAAAATTGCTGATAAATCGACACAACGCAAAATACGTGTTTGTCGCGTGTGCGGCCAAGAAAAATGCACACCATGCAAATGCGTACATAGACTTGTATTTCGAATTAATTGTCTTCAATTTCCATGAAAATCCAATCGAATCATAATTTTCACAACAAAAGTTTTAAGCCGAACATTGAAATGAATACCAAAAATGCTCAACACTTACGTTTTGCTTTTTTTCTGCTGAAAATGTATGTTGGTTTTTTGCGTATTGTTTTTCAAGATGTCTGCCTCACTCTGTGACTCATTGAAAAATGGCAAGCTCAGCATATCCAACAGCATTGATACTGCGACGCAAACGCATGGTATTTGTGTTGGTGACATTTCGTTAAGTTGACAGCGTCGCCGGATGTATGTCAATCAGTAGCTCTCTTTTGAGCAAATCCAAAGCTCAATTCAAAAATGTCGGTTAATTTCATGCGAATTGTTCATTTTAGAAATCCAAATACTGTTGAGCACATTTCGTCTGGAATTATGATCATTCTATCATTCGAATAAAAAAATCTTGATGACTGAGCAATATTCAATGAGCAACAGACATCGAAGCAGAGGAATGTTCCAAATTTCACAGCCAATATTTGTTGTTATTTTCATCACAATCAAATCAACAAATATTTATTGAGTCATTGATAACAAAATAGAATTCAAATGATATTTTTAAAAAATCTGAGATTTCATCATACGACATCGGAATCGTACATTCAAAATCGAAAGTTGATATAAAGATGTACACTTAAGCATCGCAAGAGTGGAATCGCATGGTTCCAAATTGTTTTGGATTTTGAAAGGAAACTTTATGAAAAAGAAACTTGAAATGTGCCACTTTTTGGTAGTGTCTCTTATCGGGTGGATTTGCTGCAATAGAATCAAAGCGGTGGACAAACAACAACATACTCATTCGCTGTGTTTATACGAAAGAGATCAAATCGGTTTGGAAAATTCCGCATGTCTCACGAACGTAACTAATAATCTATTTGAATTTCGAGTACAACAAATGCATCAAATCTATTGACTAGATCGAGAGGAGAGTATGTGAAAAAATTCTAATATATTTTGAAAGAGGAGAGTATGATTTCTGTTGATTCTATCTGCGTTAAAAGGAAGTATGTTAGCATCCCGTCTAGCCTCCGCGGTTTTTCACGGTTTTCGCGGAACTGATAAAAAGATAACAACATGGTGTCTTCGGCAAAGTTGTAGTACTCGAGGTTTTCTATAACATTGCTGAAGACATCTATCTCTTATCTCTTATCAGTTGCGCGCAAATCGCGCACATAAAAAAGCAAATTTTATATAGAACTTTTTTTTTCTTATCATTTTTCGCGCTTTTCGCGGAACTGATAAGTGATAAGAGATATTTGACTTCAGCAATGCTATAGAAGACCTCGAGTGCTACAACTTTGCCGAAGACACCAAGTTGTTATCTCTTAGCAGTTCCGCGGAAACCGAGGACCCGCCAAAAATGAACATACTCGCCTTTAACCATTTTTGAGTCGAAAGAAACTTACTCTTCTCTTTCATAACAAAGTCAGATGAACTTACTCTCCTCTCGATCTAGTCAATAGAAATGTAATCGAAACAATTTCATTTCGTTCAACACTCTTTTTGTAAAAATCGAATGGAATTGAACCATTTTGATTTATACTGCATTTGTGCGCAAAAGTTAGATGTATGTGTGAGTCACGGTGCATGCGAGTGTAAATTATGAGCCGAATAACAACTGAGATTTCTAACATTTCTGTCAATTCAACAAAAAGGAGTCAAATCGAACCACTGAGAATGAATCTCAGGCTTTATCGCGAAGTTTGTAAAATAGGAAGTTGAATGAGTTTATCGAAAAAAAGAGAAATTGAATTCTTCGCGTGCAAAAGAGAGTCATATTGTTGTCGTACTCAAGGCTGAAACAAATCGTAGTTTGCAAGTATAAAGAGTCGTACTAGCATTTTAATGTGCCTTTTCTGCGTATGACGGATTTAAATACCGCCGTCGCAAAAATTCCGATTGAGTCTGTGATTTATTCTCAGCGGTTCAATTGAGGCTTATGAGATTGAATTTATCGTGCATTTGTGCTGGAAAACTGGGCGATTCAAATAATTTAAATGCAATTGCAACACTCGAAGTCATTCATTTATTTCTTTGTAATCGAAAATATCAGGATTAGTGTGATGTCTTCTGAAGACCACGACAATGGACAATTAATCATGAATCAAGTCAAACCAAATATTTCAATACCACTTTGAAACCGAAATATTATCATAAAAACTGACAAACCCAATCGAAGTGCAGAGTTGATTTTGTATCAACACATTTGCCAAACGCCATTTGTTTCATTCTTCAACCAAAAAAATGCTGTGAAAATAATCTCAGTAATAAAATTCAACTCTCTTCGCTTTTGGTTTCAATTTATTTCGGTTTTGTTTCATTAAAAATTGGAGCTTAAATCTAAGGTGGTATTCATTATTTGTTTGTTTTTAAAAATAGTAAATGTTATTTCAAAATGATTTCAGAAAATGAATTGAAATTAAATGAATG